AAGCAATGCTTATTCCCTTTTAAGGTTCTAGTGTCAAGCCAGTGTTTGATTAAAGTTTTACTAGGGAACCAATGAATTTATTGAGCTTACTTACTGAGATAACTGAAGGGTTGCTGAGGTGTATGTATGACCTGAAGGTATGCACACTGGAAAGACTTTACTCAGCCTGGGTCATGTCTTCTCTTCCTAGCCTTCCCCAGATTGTATACTTTAGCCCTCCCCAAATTCAAGAGGCCATGTGTGATTAGGGTCAAATTACATACAGTTGGCTGGGAAGAGTGGCTGGATAATTTGGTGAGGGTCCAATGACCCTGCTTGGCCCTCCTTTAATGATTGAGCACAACCATCAACAAGCCCAATTGTGATGATGTTTAACGATCAGGCTCAGCTGAAGTCGTGATGATGGTAGTTATTTCATTTGGACTGCTGTATAGCATCATCTTTTTAAAAGGACCTAGAATTTAAAAGGATTTGGTGCTAGATCTACATATAAGGGAGTACATACATCATTTGTTTTTCTGAGTCTGTGTTACTTCACTTAGTATAATAGTTTCTAGATCCATCCATTTACCTGCAAATTTCATTATTTCATCTTTATTTACTGATGAATAGAGCTCCATTGTGTAAATATACCACATTTTTGTTAACCACTCATCAGTTGAGGGGCACTTAGGTTGCTTCCATCTCTTAGCTATTGTGAAAAGACCAGCAACAAACATGATCATACAAGTGTCTCTACAATGGGATGAGACCTTTGGGTATATACCAAAGAGTGATATAACCAGGTCATGTGGCAGGTTCATTCTTAGTTTTTCAAGAGTTCTCCACACTGTTTTCCATAGAGGCTGCACGAATTTGCAATCCCACCAGCAGTGAATGAGCGTTCCACTTTCTCTACATCCTCTCCAGTATTTGGTATCATTTGTTCTCTTGATCCTAGTCAGTGTGATTGGGGTAAGGTGATACCTTAGGATGGTTTTAATTTGCATTTCTCTAATTACTAATGATGCTGAACACTTTTGGAGATGTTTA